TTAACTGGGCTATTTAAAAAATAAATAACAAATAAAAATTAGTAAATAAAAATTGGAAAAACAAACCATGCCTGAGACGAAAGGAGAGAACAAGTAGAGTAACTAATTGGTAAACAAGGTATTGGGTATACCTTGACTGTTTGTTACTTTTACAACATTCAAAGGAGAAAGGGGAACAATGTCCTAAGGTGAGGATTATTTTCCATGCCATCAATACTCTGAGGCACATTTCTTATCTGAAGCATTAAGGAGGCAACACTGAATGACATAATGCAGCACCTCTTTAATAATGGGTGTCATAGCAAACAGGTGAATTAAATTTACACCTTGTTTTTCATAGACCTTCAGGAAAGACAAAGGAGATGGTAATTATTCAATGAATATAATGCTGAAAGGAACCAATGCTTTCACTAACCCTACCCCAGTCTCATTCTCTGAGGGAGATGTGTGGCCTTTGGGGTCTTTCTTGCTGCTTTTCAGAAAGTGATTTCCCGTTTGTTTCAATTGACCAGGTGCCCGAGAAGAACCCACCGTTCAGCAGGCACAGCGCCGGTCGGCTGTCTTTCTGTCCTTTAAGTCTCCAATTCCATGTCTGCCCTTGCGCTGGGAGCAGCAAAGCAAACTTCTTCCAACTGTTGCTGGAATTCCTGCCAGTAAAGTTTCCAAATGGAGCACAGATGAGGTATATTTTATCTTCTTTGTCCGCCAGGCACGAGACACAGGAGTACTGGCTTAAGGAGTGGTGGACATATTGAGCATATGTAGGGTTTAATCTTTTTTTTTTTTTTTGTGAAAGAGAAGATATTATTCTGAGAAAAACACCTAAAACATAAGAGGTTAAATGTTTTGAACCTGTAGCATTTAGATTCTGACTTTTTTTTTTAACTGGAAATTGTGATATTATTTTTGACAGGTTTCAGAATTCATACAGAGCTTACCTGGGTGTGAAGAACATGGAAAGGTATTTAAAGATGAAGTAAGTGTTCCACTAAACTGCAATATGTTACTTAAGGAGATCAAAGCACTGAAATGTAGCGAGTGGTGACATGTGTTGAATTGTCGGAGTCGGGATGAGATAGGCTATGTTGAAATTGATAAATTGATGCATAGTGGTCTAAAGGCAGCGTTAATCAGTTGTATCAAAATGTCCTGCATAAGACGAGATGCAAAGGAATGTTTGTAAATACTACTTTATGATGCCCCATAGCAGTGAGACACGAGACTCCTTATTAAAAAACTCACAAAACTTAGTAGCATGCCTTGATGTAGTTTATAGCACAGAAAGAAACCAAAGAAATAAGCAACATTTCATTTTTATAATAAAGTGAAATTAGTTCCCATTATTTTATTTTCAAACATCTTTCTTAACACCAAGGTTAATTCCATTTGATGCTTATAATAAATAATATTGCCATTATTGCTAAAAAACAATCCCTTAAATCTTACACATTTAGCAGTAATGTTTATAACAACAGGTATTTATCATAGTCTGCTTTGGGAAGATTATTTTATTAGTTGTTTTCAACTACCTCTCCAAAATTTGGACAAAAGGCATGATTAACAATGATGTCACCTACATTATTCTAATGAATAAAAAGGTTTGCAATTCTAACTACACTAGAAGCAATATGCTGTTGGAGTATGGCAGGAGACCCTTTTCACTTGAGAGCTTTAAAATAAGCCACTTGCCTGTCATCTCCTCCAAGCTGAGCAGTCAATTATCACTCTGATTTTGGCTCTGCGTCATACTGCCAGAAGGCAGAAAGTAGGTGGAAAGTAATCTCAGAAGGCTTTCTCCAACATCTGCTGTCTGCAGTTATACACATACATACCTTGTTTGCCCTACCTGTAAAGCTTAACTGTTAGAATGTCACACTTTCAGTTTCATTGCAGGAGTATACACAAAGCTAAGAATCCAGCCAGCAGTCATCAGTGTCATTGTACTATTAGATCTAATTTATGCTTTAGATGAATGCCTGATAAAATGTACAAAGATCTGATTTTCAACAGCCTTTTTCTGATTTATGTTCTTATTGCAGAAATGTTTTATCTTTCTAGTCTATCTTTAACACATTAACTGCCATGTGAATTGTATTTAACTCATGCTAGTTTTGAGCCCAGGGCCTCATGAAGCATATGTAACTCACACGTGGGACCCGCATGAACTATTTTTCAAGTTGCATGTAACTCATGCATAGAAAAAATAGAAAATAACAAATTTTTTCATTAAATTAAAATCATTTTGTTTTTGAAGTTTTTATTCTGTTTTTGTGATAAAATACTGTGGCCCCAAGGAAAAATATTTTTTTTCTATTGCGGCAGTCAATGTGTTAATTAGCAATTATTCAGACTGCAAGTTTCTTTCCCTAAGTCCTAAGTATCCTCATGGACCACTCTCAATTAATTTTCTATTCCTGAACAGACTTAGACTCACATGGAGTGATGTTACTTTTTCTTGGAAAGAGTCATGTAGTCAATACCTTTGAAAATGATAAAGCATTTTTGAAAATAAACCTATAATCCATATATTTTATAAGTTCTGGTTTTGATTCTGTTGATATCTAGATAATCCATATAGGTTTGCTCTATTATTTAGATTAAGTAAGATTGAAGTTTAAATTCAAAATAATATGCTATTTCTTTGAATAATTTTTTTCATGGCATACTATCTTTGGAGGTACTTCTCAGATACCAAATATCCTCAAAGCTAGATCCTTCTTTGGGAGAGTGGAACAGTTAATGTTCTGTCTGCTACGTATTATTCATTCATCTTGTAAACATTTGTTACATGCCCACCGTGTGTATGTTACTCTGTAATGCTGTGGTGAGAAGGATGATTCAAAAATAATAAAACAATCATCGCTTTCAGTGTCTCATAAGGTCAGTGGATATTGGTTTCAAGTCCTAGAAGCAAACAGTAATACAAATCTAACTGAAGTCTTGTGAATTATCTCTAAAAGGCAAAATACAGGTATTCAGATAGGCTGTTACGAGAAATCTTTGACTTCTCTCTTACACACGCCACATTAATCTGTTAAAAATCCTGCTGGGTGTATTTTACAAACACAGAAGGATTTTGACTAGCGCTCTACCCTCACCACTACCAGCCTGGTCTGAGCCACCGCATCTCCCAGCTGGATGAACACAATAACCTCCTAACGGGCTTCCCTGCTTCTTCTGTTTTTGCTCCTCTCCGATCTTCTCCCAGCACAGCCAGGGTGATCCTGCTGAAACAGAAGTCAAATCATATCACTCCTCTGTTCAGATCCTCCCAGTAGCTTCACATCTCAGTCAGAGGGAAATCGGAAGGCACGAGGGCCTGCTGTCTGACACCTCGTTACCTCCCCTGCCTCCTTTTTTACGCTGCCCCGTGCAGTTGTGCACACTCCTCCTTGCTGCCCTCAGATTGTCCCGGAGTGCTCCAGCTCTGCCTTCCACCTGCAGTGCCCTTCCTCCCGACGTCCATGTGGTTCAGCCCCTCTGCTCACATGCCAACTTCTCCATTAGTCTTGCCCTGACTGCCCTGCTTCGAGTGGCCCCTGCCGCCCATCTCCCCAGCCAGCTGTCTTTTCGTAACACTAATCACCTTCTGATTTACTAATTAATAGGCTTGTATATTGTGTTTATTGCTCATAATCTATCTCCCACTACTGGAATGTAAACTCTACAAAGAGTTTTTGTTTGCTTGCTTGCTTGTTTTTGTTTTATTGGTTTTATTCTCGGCTGTGTGCCCAAGCCCAAGAAGAGTGTTTGAATATAATAGATGTTTAGTACGTTTTTATTGAGAAATACCTTTACACTCTGAGAAAGACTCATTCAGACAAAGCGCGCGTCACTGTGATTTAGAGATGAAGCATTGGAAAAGAACCAGTAGTGCACAGTGGAAAGGTCAGTGAAATGGAAGGCAAGAGCTCCTCAGTTCCAAATTCTTTGTCCTCGTTTTAGGCCTCTAGCAAGACACCTCATCTATGGAGTTAGATCAGTGTATATGCATTACAGAAGCACAGAAACAAAAAGTAAGCCTAGTAATACACTGCAGTGGTCACTGTTGTTAGAATGTACTTTCTAAAATTCACTTCCTTCCAATCGAGGCCCGTCCTTACAGCCACACATCAGAGCAACCTGTACGTTTTAAATAAACTGAGTTTGGCACTAGCCTCAAGACTTTTTCTGTCTAGTGTGACCTTATAAATAATAATCCACTAAAAATTATCCTTCTCATCTCACATTTAACTTCATATCCCAGCCCCTCAATTCTCCGAATGTTCTTTTCATCAGTCGTCTTTCATGTTACATAGTTTCAGAAGGAGACTCGGTTGGCTGCTACAGCCCTTGGGAACGGGTGTATTAGTTGATGTTTGTTGTCATTAATGACTTAGAAGACTTCTGTCAGGCTGTCCATCCTACTAAGGCCTGCCTTGGTCGAGTGAAGTGTTCGTAGATCTGCCTTTCTTCCTGACCTCGCCTTATCAGTGGGCTGTCACAGCACAAGCAGATGAGACCAGAGCAAATGTTTCCAAAAAACAATAGAGTATTTCTCATACCTGCCATTTAACTGTGTTACACTAGGAGATTAACATTGGAATATCTTTCCTTCTAGTTAGCAAGATTTTTTTTTTACTGAAGTTAGCAGACTTTTTCCCACATGATTGTTACCCGAAGTTGTATAAGATGACTGTAGTTTTTACAGATTAAGTTCATAGGCAGTTTCTATGTACAGGTTTTTCATATATACAGGGGAGAGGAAAATCCTAATAGCTGCCTAATTCTATCAGCCTTTGTTTAGAGAACTGTTTACAGAATTTAGAATCGTATTCGTTTGCTAGGGCCATGTTGACAAAGTACCACAAATTGGTGGCTTAAATGGCAGAAATTTATTGTCTCACAGTCCTAGAGGCTGGAAGTCTGGAGGAGGATAGAAATCAAGGTGTCAACAGAGTCGCCTCCTTCCGAGGGCTGTGAGGAACTAATCTCTTCCTTCCAGGCCTCTCTCCCTGACTTACAGGTGGTGTTCCCTCTTTGGGTATTCACATTGTCATCCCTCTTTGTGTGTCTGTCTCTGTGTTCAAATTTCCCCTTTTTATGAGGACACCAGTCATATTGGATTAGGTGCCTACCCTACTCCCCCGTGACCTCATCTTAACTAATTATGTCTACAACGACGACGCAGTTTCCGAATAAGGTCACATTCCGAGGTATTGGGGGTGGGAGCATCAACATATGAATTTGGGGGGGGTGGGCAGGGGGAGCACAGTTCAATCCGTAGTGGGGTACACTGCTGGCAAGGTTTCTGATGTACTCGAAGACAGAGAACAAAAGTGTGTTTTACTTTTTGTTCAAAGTAGGAAAAGTGAAAGAGAGGTGAATTAATTTTTTTAAGGTTGTGGGGTGCCCCGCGAACTGAAAGTCATACAAAAAGACTCTGTTCCTTTGTTCTGCCCACTAAACCACACATCATCTTCGTGTTCTATCTTTAAAACTCAAACGTATGTGTTACCTTTGAACGTCTGCAAAATAGTAGCCTATATTCTCAAGAAACAGGTTTTTTGTCTTAAAGGAGTCTGAGAGAGAGGAAGGATCTTTCTCATGCTTTCCCAAGTAGTAGAACCAGCCTAGAGTCTGCAGCTCTTAACACCAGTCACATGTTCTTCCAGCTACGCTGTTGAGTAAATGATTTTCTTCTGTATGTGAAGACTAATTGTGACCACACTAAAAATAAATACTACCTTTCTGGTTTTTTTTCTTCATGGTGGAAGGCTAATTCTGAAAAAAAAAAAAATTGCTAGCATGTAGCCGATATATTTGCCTGAATTCTTTTATGTCCACAAACATTTGTGTACATGTTATCTTTTCTAACTTAAAAACCTACCATGGTACGAACTGGATTTGGGGCACCCACCCCAGATTTTTCCATATTCTTCCTGACTCCACACCTTATTCGGGGCAATCACGGTAGGTGTGAGCACTTCCATTTTCCTATGTGGGGTTGATTTTTTCAGATGGATGCATTTACCTTGCTCCCAATCCACATTTGGGTGTGGAGTTGTAGAAAAGAAAGGCCCACATATCAGGAAATATTGTTGCACATGTGAACTCCTATGCGTGCCTTTTTAGTGTGGCTATACAGAAGGGAGCTGGTAACTTATCCTGGAATATTTCCTACCATACTATAGCTGATTAATCCACATTCTTTTTTTATTCCCCCCGTTTTAGCAAATTGATGGAGAAGCATTTCTACTTATGACGCAAACGGACATTGTTAAAATTATGAGTATTAAGCTGGGCCCTGCTCTCAAGATTTTCAATTCTATCCTGATGTTTAAAGCTGCAGAGAAGAATTCTCATAATGAACTTTGAAGATAGTGAATTCTGAATACTATCAGCTTTCTGCTTTAAAGCTCATGTTTTATTCAAAGCACAAGGACGGTTGTAACTCCTAAGTGAGAATTCTCCAAAACTCAAAAGAGCAACACTATCGGATTATTTATATTCCTCGAGAGACAATATATATGAATTCTTATGAAAGTGCTTGAGCTTTTAACCAGGTACTGTCTAACAACAGTCATCTTTTGGTTCTGTTCACTGAGCTAAATTTATCTTTGTAAATCTTTTTGAGGCTGGGGGGTGGGGGGAAGAGGGACTTCATTAATTATTTATGGATGGGGGGCAGAGTAAGAACTTTGGCATTTTGTAAACATTGTTGAATTCTCTTTCATGTACACTTTCTTTTTTCAATACTTTCGGAAACCTTTTTATATAATCAAATTTCAAATTAAACCAAATTAGTCAAAACTTGGCTAAGTTTAGCCAGTGGGACTGTTATCTGTATTGTTAATTTTGTGCCATATTTTGAATTGCAACATTATGCTAAGTATAACTTTGCAAGTCATGATATTGCCTAACTGCTTGTCATAATTTGTTGAGGCTGAATAGTTGTAAAGATGACTTTTCTTTGAATCAGTGTTTTTTACTTTTGCACGCATTATGAAATGTTAAAACAAATTACTTTTCACCAGCATCTTTACTATAATTACCAAAAACATGTATATAAAAGAATGGAATCGAAAAATAAAATATATAAACATAAATAAATTAGGTAGTGTATTTGAGTGGCATCAGTCTCATGCATCGTGGTGCCCGTGTGTTTACAAGAGTCAGATCGTATCAGAGGAATATTGGGGTATGTTTGTGAGGATCTTGAACTATTTATGAGATGATCTTGAGCTTTTCCTCTAATTGTCATTGAAGTAACTGGGGTGCTTTACAGAGACCAAAGGCTCATTCTGTCGATAGAAACACTAATCTGTAAAGAGCTCTGTCTCAGGTCTTGCATTGTCCTCCAAACCCAAAGGTTTTCTTCCACGAGTGTCTAGATCTTACTGAAAAGACAAGGTGTGAAGGAACAACACCAGTCGATGCAAAATCCTAAATGCTCACAGATCAGGATGGTGATTTCCCAAAGCAATTAATTATTCAAGAACCTCCATTTTGGAAGGATTCCTTTTTCTGTAGAATACTTTGCCTCGATATATAAGCATACAAATGCACTTTAAATGAAAACCCTTGATTATAACTGATAGCTGGTAGTGTTTCTTTTGCAAGAATGCGTTTCTAAAGCAAAAGGTAAATTATTTTGTTGGTCTTTTGATGTACTTTCTATTTCCAGGATTGGATATTTATTCGAGGACTATTTTAAAAGTAGAAAGTAAGTTTGTAGCATGCTGTCTGAATTCTGGGGAAAGTTCCACCTCATTCCTTAGTTGCTCTTGTTTTTTCTGATGTAGGACTTCCTTGGATGTCCCCTGTTAGAAGTCTAACAGCAGTAGTCCTTTGCATTTGTCATAACTCAAGGTAAAACAGGGTCAGTGACATCTGAAGTGTCCCATACATTTCTTTGCATGAATCTACTTAAATAAGTTTTTTTGTTACTGTTTTTTTTCTTTTTTATGTTCAGAATTTGTACATTCAAGTTGCACTTGTTATATCTGATATGAATGAAATAAAATCTTAATTACAGATACTTTTTTACATATGTATGATTCTTAAGAAAGCTTGTCAAATAGAAGAGGCAGGACAAGAACAGGAACGACATCAAGTATGGGCATTGGATAGCTATGTAATGAATCTGTAGGATTCAGAATCATTTGTCAAACTATATCCCAAGATGATGTGATGTGTGATAAAAAAAATTACATTGTTGGGTCACGTAGGATTCATTCCCATTGGAAATTTTTCCTATTTTAAAGCATACACTGTAAGGAAAGAGGCTTTTAAATCTTACTGAAAACATCCACTCACTCTAAACAGTATTTTATGTGGCATAGGCAAGGCATTAAGCATCCTTGGGGTGGCACGGGATTCAGTGTACCTCGAGAAGGGGAAAACATTCGCCACTCCATCCGTGGGATATAGTCTGAGTTATAGCAGAGGAAATAGGGAACCGCGATGGTAGGAAGTTCCCTGAAATGAGAGAAACAGTCTTGGGGTAAGACAAAAGGGAGGGATGGGAAACGTGGACTTTGATAGGACCTTCCCATTTAAAGGCATTTTTTTTTTAATTTAAAACACTGTACAAGACAAGTGAAACCCATCTGTAGGTTGGTATTTGTCCCCTTGGCTGCCATTTTAAAATACTTCTAGATCCAGTGGACTTAGCCCCCAAAGAAACAGGGTATGTTAGTCAAGCAATATTGAATATTGGGCACGGGGATTAGGTACACCATCAAAAAAAGATAATAAAACAGATGTGAACCTGCCCTCAAGGTCAGCTCTTGTTTGTGTCATGTTTGGAGCCAAACTTCACTGCAGTTTCTCTGGGTCCCCAACTGTGTCACTCTGCCCCAGCTAAAGAGATGCTCATTAAACTTCAGCCATACAGACGTGTCCCCTTAAAGAAAAGAATCTGTAAGAAGTTAGTAAACTCATTTGGGAGAAGAGAACTAAAAAAGATGTGGGGGATAATTTGGGGAAATAAAGGAAGATTTGCAAAGAATTAAAGGTGCATCCTAGTGAAAAGGAAATGGCCACTTTAGGAGAACTAGTTTATGCAAAGGACACATGCCCAATGGTTACTCACTCTGCTTATCCATTGGAACGTAAGTAGTTAATGAATAGTCATTGTAGAGATTAGCAACTGTTCTTTAATTTCTTTCTTCTTTTCCTTTTTTAGAGTCGGGTTCTTGCTCTGTCGCCCAGGCTGGTGTGCAGTGGCACAATCATAGCTCACTGCAGCCTTGAGTTCCTGGGCTCAAGCAATCCTCTTGCCTCAGCCTCCTGAGTAGCTGGAACTCTATGTAAGTGCTATCATGCCCCCAGCTATTTTTTTTTTTTTTTTTAATTTTTTGTAGAGAGGGGATCTTGCAATATCATTCAGGCTGGTCTTGAACTCCTGGCCTCAAACGATCCTCCCACCTCGGCCTCCCAGAGTGCTGGGATTACAGCATTTCTTGTTATTTCACTGACGTCAGCATTTAATGAACAGTCCTTATAGAAAGGAATCTAGCATGCTATTATTTCAATGATAACATATATTTTGCAGTATTTCCAGAGATAGGTAGGGTAAAAATATTTCTTCAATAATTCATGTGACCTCTTCTTAAACTTTTTTTAAAAATTTAATTTGATGAAGTAATCCCGGAAATGTTCATCCCATTGTGATGCAGATATTAATACTTAAATCTCTTTTCAGTCCCCCAAAGACCTGTTCTATCTTTCAAAACTAATAAGTAACATACATATTTTGATAAGTAACATCAAGGGCACCTTAAAACTGTAGTTTTGTAGTTTTTTTCCTTGTGAAATACTTGGAAAAGAGTGAAAGTGCATTGAGTCTTCTTGGACCCAAAAAGCACTTGTGCAGCCATTTGTAATGGCAGAACAGATAGAATTATAACCTGGGGCTCTGGGCATAGCCAGTCAGGCATGCGGGACAAGTCATGTGTCCTTAGGGCGCGAAGCAGTAGCAGATGAACACAGGTCACAGATGTCTGAACCTGAGTCAGCAAGACCCGCCAGCAAAGAGGCGACCTCAAGAATGCAGCCCTTGTTCTCAACAGTTGATTCAGAGACCAAATCTCCTAAGGCCAGGCCGGTCATCTAGGGGAAAGAGGAACTGAGGAGGATGTGCTCCTTCTTGAAATGTTCAAGTTCAAAACATTTCCAAGCAATGTCCAGACCAAAGACGCTGCCCACAGGCCACAAATGTGTGCAGCTCCTGGGCTTTAAATCTTTCAAAAGTGAGCAAGTGTAAGGTCATACCCTAATCGCAAAGATTGGAGTAAATGTAAAGTACAGTGTCTTTTAAAAAACTAAATAACCTTTGAAAGTATAACCTTGACCATGGAATTTCTAAGAACTCAAATCAAAATACCGTAACAGCTCTTTAATTAAGTAGCATTTTATTTCAGAATTTCACACAGAACTTAATAGCTAAGTGTAAAGATAGGCCTTGAAATTCATTAGCTTCTGTGATAACACAATGATTTTCTAATACCTACCTCTTACCACAACCCTAAATCAAAACAATTTTTTATTAAGTTTCAGCTTTCCCACAGGTGAATTCTGATACAATATTTGGCATGCTTTTAAGTGACTGGGTGTTGAAATCCTACTTCCCTTTCCTTTTCTTTCAAAGAGGAAAAATAGGGACTGTGCACATCAAAAATCAATGTCTCTAGAAAGCTGAGGGTTTGGGACAGTCTTCTTGGACACTCAATTCCAAATACATGAAAGGCTGCCACTAGAACCGCCAAGGCTGTGACACAGTCGTCCACCTTTGTGAGCCTCTCTTTTTCTAAATATAAAGAAAATTCGCAGACCTCGATGTTGAAAGGGTTTTTAACTTCTAACACGGGCGTGGACACTTGTACCTGAAAGAAAGAATGGAGTCACTGTCTTGATAAACAAAATAGCCAAGTAATAAAACATACCTGGACTTAATCATGATATTACAATAAATAAGCTTGTTGCGATTTTATATATTTGTAAGTATGGCAAAACATACTTCAAAATAGACCACCATCCTGCTTTTTAATAAATTATGGTAAGACGATGTAAAATGTCAAACTAATGGCCATTAACAGACTGCATACCTTCTCATTCACAACGACAAAAAGACTGGGGTCATCCCCAAAAACATGTGGGAGGAGTAAACATGTGGCTGTCATCTTCATATCTGTCAAAGCAAACGTGTTTACAGTCAAAGTAAGCTTTTAGCAATTGTAAGCAAAGCTAGTATTAAAACATCTGGATTTTTTTTATTGTTACCTTCTACACAGAACAAACTAGGCTTCTTGGATCAGTGTTTCACAACCTTTTCTAATGAAACATTCAAAATTTCATGTCTGCTCTCCAGATCAGTGCCAGAAGACAAGAGTTCTGCACTCTCTGTCCATCAGCCAGGATGATTTTACTTTGCTTCGCCTTGTGATTTATATCATAAAGTTAACAGGTTACTAGTTCCCTAAATACAATTTTACAATATCGGGTGCACTTTTTAAATCTATACCTCTACTCCTCCCCCTCTTTGAACAATTCTTTGTTTCTCACCTGTTGTCTTCCATAATTTTACTTACTACCAAAGCAGAGTTTTTCTCAATATCCTGAATTACACATACAACTGAGACCAGATCACCCCACCTCACAGGTTTACTAACGTTTCAACATGTCTTCATCTGTGTACTGTTTCATTTTTTCTTGCAACGCAATATTGATTGGATTGTCCACCACTGAAAAAGAAGTCAGTATATTTTCTGAATAGGATTCCAAAATGTGCCTTGTTTTCTTATAAATATCTGTTCTTGTAAGAAGTTGGAATTCTCTGAACATCTGATAAGAGAGGAAAGAAATAGATACATTAGATCACAAGAAAAGCTAATATATAGAATGTAAGGAAGTAAATAACTTTAGAATTCTATTAAGCTTTGAATGCTAGTTTCAAAAACATACTAAATATTTTAGAAGCTTTAGAAGAGAAGTACAGACGTACGATAGGGGAGGAGAAAAAAAAAATGAAAGCCCGAAGTGAATGGGAAAAGATAAATAATGGACATGGCAGAATTCTAAACCTAAAGAATTAAAACCTTGGATGTAGGCTCCAGTAAGGATTGATTCCAAAGTATATATGCATACATTGGCTGTTTGGGTAACCCAGCTGAGATTCTAGGTCAGGATCTTACATTTCTTTAGGTAAACTACATTGTTATGTTTTGGCAGCATCCAAAGAAGAAAATATTAGATTTTAGTAAGCAACCCTTAAAAAATAGCTAACTATAGTATCCTACAGGGAAAGGGGAGTGCTTTAGAGACTGTAAGATCAGACCAAGGTAAACAGTGAAAAAAATACAAATATGTACAAGAGATTTGACTACATGGTCAAAGCGAAAGCAGTTCGCTTTAGAGAAGCCCCTATACTGGAAACTAACTTTTTCTACCACTGCTTGAATTCTCCCCCCTTAGAGAATTCCACCACCACCCCTTTTTTGACGGAGTGGCGCTAACAAATTATTAGCCCCCATACTAATATGAATTAATTTAATCATTGCTTTCCCCTAAAACTATAAAGAACAGTTACATGCTACCCACTGGGCCTCCCTGTTCCTGGAATATTTTGGTAGATCATAAATTGCCCAGAGATTAGTTCTGAAAGTGAAGTTGTCAGAAAGCTGAAGTGCACATTCTCAAAAAGGCACAGTGGCTCTGTTAGCAGGCAGCCCTCAGTGGACGACTAATCTAGATTAATGCCTTTCGAAAACAGTTTTCTCAGCAGGAAGACAAGAAGTGAAGCATGAAGAAGGTGATGAATATTCCACTTTTCTGGGCCCATAATCTAAGAATTTCTTTTTAACTTTATTTTGAAATAACTTCGAGTGTACATAAAAGTGGTAGAAAAATACTAAAGAGAGCTCCCAAATGCCCTTCATGCAACTTCCCCCAATTTCTGATCCACTTGAAAAGAAGTTGTAGACATGACATCCCATTACCCCTTAATACCTCATTATGTATTTCCTAAGTACAAGGACACTCAAAATCAGGAAAATCTAATTTACAGATCCCGTTCAAATTTGCCAGTTGTTCTAATCATGTTCCTTATAGGATCTAATGCAGGATCACATGTGAGATTCAGATACCATGTGTCTTTAGTCTCCTGCCTGAAACAGCTTCTTCATTTCCTTGACATTTTTGAAGATTCAAGGCCAATTACTTTGTAGAACATTCCTCGATCTAGGTTTGTATGATGTTTCCTCACAATTTATGCATTTTGGGCAACAATGTTGGCAGTTCTCACTGCACCAGGAAGCACAAGGTAGTGTTTGGCCCCAGTATTGGAGATAGTAACTTTACCACTTGGTTAAGCTTGAATCTGCCAGGTTTTCCCACTGTAAAGTTAATTATTAATAATATATAATAAGTATTGTATGGGGAGATACCTTGCATTTATGTAAATATCTTGTTCCTCATGTATTAATAACTTTCTTCCACCAGATTCGGCATCCATTGATGATTCTTGCCTGAACCCAGTATCACTAGGATAGTTGCCAAATGGTGACTTGTCTAATTCCATTCTTTCTAAATGTATTGGTTGGCTTTCTACTGTAGGATAGAGTGAGTGTTTTCTTCCACATTTATTTACTTATTCATTTATTTATATCAGTACAGACTAAGAAATTACTATTTTACCCAAATAGTTAGAAATCTGATCCTTTCATTATTTATATTAATGCTCAAGTTGCCCAGATTTGGCCAGTGGGAGCCACTTCAAGCTGACTGCTGTGTCCTCTTGACACATCCCATTGGTCCATGAATACTTTTAAATTTCTGGCATTACACAATATTTCAGGCTCATCTTGTGTTTTGGGGAAGGGGTTTGTTTGTTTGTTTGTTTTTTGCCCCAGCCCCGTAGTCAGCTATTTCTCTAAGAGCCCTGGTTCCTGTTAATGGAGAATGGCATTTAGAAGTTAAAATTTCAGCCCCGGGTGTGCTCCTTGCTCTAAACTTTCACATAGAACAAATCTAGGAAATAATAGTTGAATACACATAAATACACGCAGACCTACAAACATCTGTAACTTTGTATATCTATATATAAGTTAAATATCTACATATAAATATTAAAAACCATGCATTCACATTGATACTTTCAATTCCAATCCAACACCACATGGCTTTTTCTAACCTTACCCTTTCCATCCTTCTCTTAGCAACAGTGAGAAACCTGCCTCCCTTTATCCTCAATGTATTTCCTTATTGGTACAAACTCCCCCATGTCCATGTAGTCAAACTCTCAGCTGTGAACGGTCAGGTCAGCCACAGAAAAGCACCCTCCTCTCCACAACCTCCGATTTTGTTCTGCAGATTAATAACCTTAATCCTTTTTCTTTTCATTCCTCAGATTGGATAATTTCTATTGATCTATCTTCAAGTTCACAGACCCTTTCTTCACATTGTTCAATATGCTTTCAAGCCCATGCATTGATGTTTTCATTCAGATAAACGTTTTTGTTCAATTCTGAATTTCAGTTTAGTTCTTTCTTTATACATATTCCATTTCTCTGCTGAATTCACTGCTCTTGCCATGTTCCTCACCATCCTGAAGCAGCTGGCTGGACAGGATGGTGGCATGGCCTGTTGAAGACTCAGGTACAGCACCAGCTAGGCTGAGGCAAGGTTCTCCAGGACTGTATAAGCTCTGAATCAGCAACTAATGTATGGTGCCATTTCTCCCACAGCCAGGACTCACGGGTCCAGGAATCAAGGGGTGGAAATGGGAGTGGCACCCCTCATTATTACCCCTAGTGACCCACTTAGTAGGGTGTCTGGATTAAATTGTGTTCCTTTAAAGGGTGTTAAATTTTGTTCTGACAGTTAAATTACTGGTAGATCCTCTGGTCCTGTCGGACTTGATTTTATGATTTGTTTGGGCAGTTCTATTTTGGTGTTTGTCCTAGTCCTAGGGAATGGCCCTGGCTCGAGCCTAGGGCATGGTTTTTGCATTGACTTTCTTAAGTCTGAAGTGGATACCCGAGTTGCTCAGTGGGGTCTCTCCACTCTAGACCAGAATTCTAATTGTCAACACTGTGGGAAATCTCTGTGCTCAGCCAAGGACCCTTGTGGATCCCTGTGTAGACGTCTGCACCACCCCGTCCTCCAGTGCCCTGTCCTGCAAATACGAGCTGCCTCCTCGCTCCCAAACGCCAATCTTTTCCTGCTCAACTAAGTAGCACCTCCCTATTCTGCTTGTCTCCCAGCGTTCTGTACGAGGAGCTAGAAAGTAACCCTGAAGCAGGAAGCTGAAGCGCAGCTTACGTGTTTCCCTTTTACCAAGGATCACAGCCCTGCCACGCCTGCTGTCTACTGCCTGAAAGCAGCGGCCGTGGCAGAGTCCAGTACCTGCTACTCCATTATGGGGATTCTTTAATGTTTTTATTTTTTTGAGATTTTATTAGCAGGTAATTCTTATGCGACTCACTTAAGGTTCTTTTTTTTTTTTTGCATCTGCAGGGATCTTGATTATAATTCACTTAAGAGATTGTAAGAGATGATTGTTGAAATAGTTTCTCAAGAAAGTAAAACTTACAGTAGCTCAAAGAATTTTTTGGAAAATATAGGGAAGCATTTAAAGTTGTGTTTGGTATTTTCCTCCTCTCTCCTCAGCCTCCTCCTCCTTGCCTTGCCCAACATCCAGTAGATCCCAGTAATAAATTCCTAGTTGATGATATTTTAGGAAGCCTAATAAAGTGGGATTTTACATTTTTAATTTTTACGTTTTCTGTTGAAAGAAAGTTTTTCGGGGGAGGAGGTTCGTGCCTACGAAGGTGATGGAGGGTCAGTGTTAAGGCTAGGACCACGTCCCACCCAGCCGCTTCTCTCCTGCCACCCCTGTCTCCACCAGCTCCTAAGCGCCCATTGTTTTCACGATGGCAGTGCCAATAAGTGGTGGGAGTGGTTTGGTGCAGGAGCAACTGCCCTCCTCTAGGGATTGTTTGTTAAGTGAGTATTTGTAAGTAAGGTCAAATTGGCTTTTATTTTAAGAAGCAAAACAAGGGTTTTATAAATTGGAAATCCCAGCTGCATGGGGCTGAGTTAGGGAAGTACTTCCTGGAGAAACCAAAATTGTTTCATTCTTATGTTTAAGACAATCACTAGACAACTCTTTTCAATAAGTACAATCATTACAAAAACCATACTCCTATCCATATTTTGGATATGAAGGGTGAAATACCTGAAGGAGTGGGCTGGGGGAAGCCTTACAGCCTTACAGATGCCACAGTGAGAGACCACAGCAAAGCATAGGGACACCACCTTTGTTCTGGAAACTCTGCTTCTCACTCAGGCCACAGAGGACCTCGGTTGGAAGGACCTCTCCCCACCTTTGGTTCTTTGAAAGGCCGCTTAATTTAGTCCATGTATTAGTATTTTTTTTTCTAGAGACAGGGTCTCACTGTGTTGCCCAAGCTGGTCTCAAACTCCTGGCCTTCATTTGTAGGCTGCACTCCAATGCAGACCCCTAAGGCTGAGACTTCAGTGACCAAAGCGGCCTTACTAACCATCCCCTAATCCATTCAGCATCCAGAAATCAATATTGCATTTCTGTGTCACTCTCAGTACTCTGCTAGGCACTTTTAGAACTATTGATATTTAAAACATGCTCCCTACATTTATGGAGTGTATAAGCTATCGGTTTGACAGGTTTTTGCTTTAAAGCTATATTTCGTAGGTCTGTCAATTTGGCATACTTTTCTCATAGCCAGAGGCTGCTGGCTATTACTGTTCCTAACAACTCAAAGATTAAGAGAAAACAAGCAAAAGCCAAGAATGTGTCGCTGAGAGGATTAGATAGATTAATCCATGTAAAGCACTTAGAACGTGCTGTAGCCTAGTAGTAAGCACTCAGATGTTTGCTATTGACATTATTATTAAAATAATTTGGGCAAATGCTTATTCCAGTTTTTTTTTGGAAGATAAATGTAAAATGTTTCATGTTTAATTTGGTCGACTGCACCCACAGAATTCCTCTATGAAATGTGTTCTCAGGTAAAAATTTGACTCTTTCTTTACATACCACAGCTAAAATTATGCTAAAACTATGCTAAGACCCTTGAATGGCCACCTTAAGTAAACTAAATGGAAGGGTATTTGATTTATCCATTAAACTTCATATATTTTTAAGACCACTTTATGGGATGATTTGGGATCCTAAAGGAAATAGATTTTAAGTAAGGTTGTATACTAATAGTGTCTTGATAAATTGTCCTAGTTTGATTGTCTAAAAACATGCAAAGGGAAAATGATTCACACTGTCAAAATACCCTTAAGTAATGATCCCCCGGCCTCTACAATCTGTCCAGTAACAGGGAACTCCTTAGTTCTGCAGGCAGCCAGTGCCTGATGTCTGAATATGCTTCCCGAAATTCTTACCAAATGGTCCTAGCTGTAGCCCCTTGGGCCTCACACTCTACTGAGACTCACGCCCACTGTCTTGCTAGTTGTCCTGTTACCACTTCAAGAGGAAAGAGGAAAAAATCAGTTTGGACACTATATTCAGAGAGAATTAGAAATGAATAAAGATACCAGCCGGGCATGGTGGCTCACTTTGGCAGATCAAGGCGGGAGGATTGCTTGAGCCGACAAATCTGAGACCAGCCTGGGCAATGGTGAGACCTTATCTCTACAAAAAAATAAAAAAAACTAGCTGGGCATGGTGGCACATGCCTGTAGTCCCTGCTACAGGCTACTAGGGAGGCTGAGGCAGGAGGATCGCTTGAGCCCAGAAGTCTAAGGTTGCTGTCAGCTATGATGATGCCACTGCATTCTAGCCCAGGCAACAGAGTGAGACCGTATCTCAAAACAAAAAAGATACCTGATAAGGGCACTTCAAGAAAGGAAACAGTTTAAGAATGTCCTTCAGAGGTGTTCTGCTGCCGATCATCTTTCTTCTTATTTCCAAAGTCTGGCTCATCCTCTTGTCAATTTCTGTCCAGTCCCTTTCTGTTTTCATATATTCTTGCTGGAACCAGTTAATATGTTCATCTACCTCAGAATCTAAACAAACAGCTTCTTCCTGCAAAATATTTTTAAAATATCAATCAATTCCATGTTTCAAGTGGTAGTTTGATACTTGATGAAAACTGGAATTACAGGCTGTTACTGCACACTTTTAATAACTCTCTCCCGAGGTGAGCATCACAATGTGTGGCTACACTTGGCCTTGAATGTGATTAACAAATGGACAGTCTTTCATGAAAACAAATTAGATAGTTAATTACTTACTATGGAGTTATAATCTGTTCTCTTGACAGATCTAAAAGAATTACTTTAATTCCTACATTACCCTTTTATATGGAAACCTAGATTATCCAGAAGGTTCACACTTAACAGGAATGTTGTTTATTTCTATGCATTCAAGTTTTTAAAGGACAAAATGTTAAGAAGAGAAAAAAAGTTTCTAAATTAAGGTTTTGTTATTGCTATTACCTATTTTCTTTTTAAATGCCTTTTTATACTTTCAGTACCATGCACCATATAATTCAAGTTCAAAATAACAGCAGTGGGAATTTTGTGATGCTGAATAATCAACTATCAATTAAATTCACTATACATTTGGGTACATTGGGTTGGATTTGGGGGGGTGGCTAAGAAATACCTCACATAATCTTGTTGAAAATCTAAGACAATCAGCTTTGAGAAAACAAACAAAAATCTTGCTAGAAAAATTAGTTGAGAGAACCCTCGGCTGAACTGCACTTGAATGAGAGTTGACCAATTGTCTAACTGACCAGAATGTGAGCAGATGTCACCTGTAAAAGATGAAAAAGATGGTAAGGAACCTAAAATGCTCTTACATCCAGGCTTTTACAAACACGGTTAGGAAAGCTCCAGGTAGACTCACTTTCTGTGAACACAGGACATAGATAAGTGAACAAATTCCTAGAAAAATATAATTTATCAAAACAGGTTAAAAAGAAATTCCTACGATTTTACATAAATTTAATTACAAGATAAAAGTCTTTCCACAAAGAATATACCAAGAAGGACCTGAGCGTTTTACCAACAAAAACTACTTAACTTTTTAAACAGAGTGTTCCAGATTTATGCAAATTCTTTCCAAAAATAAAAAGGAATACTCTCCAACTCATTCCATGAAACCTTTATGACACTGATCCCCAAACCTGAAAGAAGAGTATGAGAGAGGAAAAGTGCAAGTCACCCTCACTCATGAATCAAGTTGCAAATATAAGGAACAAGGAACTACTCACTTTGAGTTTATCCCAGAAATGCAATGGTGGTTTGGCATTGGTAAGGGAACTGAAGTCACCTAACAGGAGATATGATTGATTTACCCTTTACATTTCACATACTATCAGACTGAATCTTAATGTTGGGCCACTCTTATAGAAAGATTTGGGGCAGAAAAGAAGTAGGTTTTGAGAAATGTGGTGTGTTAACAGTTCTATGATTTACTTGGCTTACCTAAATATGTGTAAATATATACTGCATTAATCAATTAAAAATAAAAAACATATGATTTCAAATAATATAGAAAAAGCATTTTATAAAATTCCACATGCCTCTATTATTAAAGAAAAAAACTTTTGTCAAAATAAAAAGAGACATTTTTAAAACCTGTAAAGTTGTCCATCAAAAACCTAGAGCTAACATAATTTTTAATGGTGAAATTTTAAGAGTTCTCTTTAAAATTGGAAACAAAATAAAGATGCTTTATTACATTCTTATTCAGCCTTATACTGGAGATTCCTAGACATAGTAGTTAAGAAAGAGAAATAAAAGGTAAAAAAATTGGAAAGATAGAAACAAAATTGTCATTATTCATAGACAACACGATTGTTCAAGAAAAAATTCAAAATGATGCACACATAATTTGTTATAATTGAGAGAGTTTTTCAGAGCAACTGAATATAAGATCAATATACTAAAACATACTAACGAACTGAAAATATAGTTTTGTACAATTGCAAAAAAAAAAAAAAAACTGCAAGGTACCTAGGAAGAAAACTAACAAAAGATGGGTAAGACTTTTATGGAGAAAATTATGAAATTATTGGAAAATATTAATGAGACCTAACTAAGTTGATAGGTCAACCATGTTCACAATTAGAAAGATGCAATATCATAAGGAAGTCACCTTTCTCCACGTGGAGCTATTGATTCAACAATATTTCTATCAAAATCTAAAACCTATCAAAAGCCAAAAAATTTTCATCAGAATTTGAGAAGCTGATTCTAAAATTTATATGAAACATTAAAAACCTCAAGAATAAACAAGGCACTCATAAAGAATAATAATAAGGTAGTGGTGGGAAAATAGCAAGACATTTTACCATTATGAAAGTAAGAAAAGCTGGTATTCATGCAGAGATAGGTAACTTTAGCAGTACAACACAGCAGAGCTTCTAGACACAGCCATGGAAACAAGAGAGATGGCATCACAAATCCCTGGGTTAGAGAAGGGCTATTTTATAAAAGGTGAAAGCATCTACATGGTTTAAGAACTTAAATGTTAAAGGCAAAACTTTGAAAAATTTTTAAAGAATATATAGGACTATTTCTTATCGCTTCAGCGTAGGAAAGGATTTCCTAAAAGCTCTGATCATAAGAGAAATGGGTGGTAAATATAACTACATTAAAATTACAACCTTGTCTTTCTTTGTCAAAAGACACCAAAAGAAATTTAAAAGGCAAGGCACAAACTGGGAGAAGATATTACAATAGACATCATTTGTAAAGGTGTAGAATACAGAATATCTAAAGGATTTTTACGAATAAATAAGAAAAAGGGCAACCTCATAGAAAAATAGGCAAAAGACACGAACGAACACTTTACAAAGGAGGCAACATGAATATTTCATAAATATATGAAAAGATGATCAAACTTATAAATAATTAAAATGAAAATTAGAAGCAAGTGAGACACCATTTTATTCCCAATAGATTGGGGGGAGGGAGAGAAGAAATGAAACCATAACAAGTGCTGCTCAGGGAGCTTACATGGCCATAATCATCCAGGAAAATAATTTGGCACTGTCTTACAAAGTTGAATATTTGCATACCCCATGAGCCAGCAATTCTATTCTTAAGTATAAATTCTTGAAAAAAGCTTCACACACGCACCAGGGCACACATACGAACATGATTGCAGCAGCATGGTTCATAATGACCCAAACTGGAAACAAATCAAATGTCCCTTAACAGGAGAATAGCCAAACAGACTGTGCTGCCTGTCACAACAGATTATTAAACCAACAGGAAAATGAATAAACTGCACGGCTCAGCTCAACAGCCTGGATGAATCTCAGAGACATTACATTGAGTGAAAAAAAGGAAGTTATCAAAGACAACATATAGTTTTCTTATCATTTTGTAAGCCTCAAAGACAAGCAAAACTAAACAATATATTCCTTAAGAATTCATGCATTTGCGACAAGATCATTTATTTAAAAAACAGGTAAATGGTAAACCTAAAATTCAGAGTAGTGGTTACTTCTAGAGGCCAATAGTGTTGGAAAGGCAGGCGATGGGAGACAGGAGCCACGTGCAGTGGTACAAGCAGTGTTCCAATCCTAAAGCTGCATGTTGGGCTAACAGTGTTCATTTTGTCTCCATAAATTACATATATGCTATATAGATATTCTTTTGTATGACTCAAATGTATAGAATGACAATTTTTTAAATAGAAAGAAAACATCTTGATTTTTTTAAAGTAAAGGAAAACATATTTTAACTATATAAACAGCTTTCCACTATTGAAATGTAGTGGAAGTTCTGTAATTGCTGATACTGACATTTAGAGACTCCTGTCTGCATGATGTACTGCTTCCCCCCAAATCATCACCAATCATGAAAGCTGAAAGCAAAGTTTCTAGGGAACCTCTACCTGATTGGACTGATGGGACTGACACGATGCTGGTGAGTTGTAGTCTAGACTGCAGTGACCCTCCTTATTAGAAGGCTGCATCAGAATTTAAAATTCTCACCCTTTTAATGATTTATATAGTGTTAGATTTATATGTTATTAGATATATTGTTACCGATTTATATATTATTAGAACTAGAAGGAACTTAGAAATTGTCTGGTCCATGCCTCTTACTTTACTGATGAGCAAATTGAGACCCTTCAAAGGGAAACTGATTTTCCCAAGCACAGAGATGACTGAGTGTGGCGTTCCCATTAGGGTAGCCCCCTACTTCTCTAAGGAAAAGGACAGCCTTGTCTGACAGGCTGATTTCCTTAGTAGTGCACATTGAAATGAGGGAGTTAGTGGATGAGAAATGTATGAATCTTACAGAAGAGCAGCTGCAGCAAAGTCGACCGAGGGTGTCTGTCTCAGTAGACTAAGATAGTTGGGGGCATACTCAAGAAGGAATCAAAGGAAGAAGGAAATGAGCAGGAAAGAGATCACTCCTGGCAACGAGTATGTTGAAGGGGAGTGTAAAAGTCACCGGTGAGATTTGTGACATCAAAGGAATCAGCATAAATTAACCAGAACATTAACTTGAGCTGGATGCAGACAAATTGGATAAAGAGCTTCTGCTATGCCTCCTTTACCACACCAGCTCTGACAACAGAGGGCGGTCTCTGCTCCACCACAGTGGCCTCCTAGGGAGCTGGTTGGAATAGCAGAGCTCAGTTCTAGCCAACTTTTAGTCCAAGCTGACAGCTGGAACACAAATAAGGAGGAGAATATTTCTAAGTTAGATTTTAACAGAAGAATAAGACTGCTTTTGGAGTA